TGCTGTTGGTCCAGATATCACTGGTCTGAATCTCTACATAGACATATTGTCTTTAAACGGCCTTGGCCTCCATGACGACCCAAACTAAAACTGGACGTTGTGAATGATTCTGGGAAGCAAACACGGTCGGTGTTATATTAGTCAGGAGATTCATCTCTGAGGTACTAAACCAATTTACCTCCCAAACATGCAAGCCCTTTATATGGCTCACACCATTTTGAAATCAAAGCAACTTAAAAACGAGATTTTCATTAGTCTAGATCCCTGAGTGGGTCCCCGGGGGGGGGGGGGTTGAGAGAAAGATCCACTGTTCCTAATAAACATGAAAAATCGAGTAACTAGGTTTTGTTTAAATCGGATGTGCCGGGTCAAAAGGCATAGATATTCCAGCCTACACGACATGTCAACCACCCTCTGTGGAAGAATGAACAGAATAATTCTTCCTGAATCTAGGGCATCCACAACCAACCACCGACAAACAATTGTGTTTATCTGATCACCAGCAACGAACGATTGTGCTTACCTGATCCCCAATAAAAAACGATCGTGCTTATCTGATCCCCAGCAACAAGCGATCGTGCTTATCTGATCCTCAGTAACGAATGATTGTGCCTATCTTATCTCCAGTGACAAACGACTGTGCTTATCTGATCCCCAGCACTAAGCGATTGTGCTCATCTGCTCCCTAGCAACCAAAGATTGTGCTTATCTGATCCTCAGTAACAAACCATTGTGCTTATCTGATCCCCAGCAACAACCCAATATCGAAGAACAGGGAATCGAGTTTGGAGTCCTGTGTCCGGACGCTGCTGCCACAGAGCTGGTGTCTAAGATCGACGAAAACCGAATTCTTTTCTTTGATGAAGCACAGCCCAGATTTGAAAAGAGCAAAATGGAGTGAGTCACTTGAATTTTAGCTAAACGCTAGTTTGCTTTATGTAGTTGATATACTTCTTATCAAGGTGAATTTTTACAGCTATCTTGAAACAAAAGTCGCAAGATGCCTCGTAAAGATTAGAATAATAATCTCTAAGGCAATAGCATAATGTGTTGTGAGGCTAGAAAACATATTCCCAAAAGACAGCAATCAATTTCACTAGGAAACAAGTGTTAGACCTAAATACAGGCTATTCTATCCTTTACGTGCACAATATGGACAATAATCTTCTTCTTATAATCTACTGGTTGTAAACTCCGGCGGAAGGTCGTGGTTGTTCGTCCATTTCTGGATTTTAGTCTTTTTCCAAACTAAGAGTTCTGCGTGCAAATCTGAAAATGGTCTAAGTTCCTGGTTTTTGATGGAAACCTGAGTAAAATTTTAAACAACACTGCATTCTATCCCCAATGTTGTTCGGAGTAGCTACTGATTGGGTAATGGATACATGTTTCAAAGGCAATACAGGCATTGATTAGATATAGATTTGACACCTGAAGATCTGGATTTCGCAGTTGATATTGTTCTGCAAAGTAAAAATAACAAAGACATGCAAAGAAAAGCAGACAATTTGTCGTCTACGGCATCAAAAATAGGACTGCAAGTAACCTATGAGAAAACTAATGTATTAAAGTTACCAACAATAGAACATGTAGATGTCATGCTAGAGAACAAACCAATATAAGTAACGGTCCATTTCTTCTATTTTGGTAGCACTTTTTACTCTCAAGAAGATTGAAAAAAAAAATGATCTCACACATTAGTAAAAGCAACAACAGTCTTTTAAAAACATTAACAAAATATGGAGCTCTAAGTTAAACGGCTTTAAGACTAAACTACAAATCTTGAGTTCTAACGTTATTTCAATCCTAACTTGGGTCAGCGAAAGTTGCAAAACTACCAAAGATATGGAACGAAAATTAAATGCATTTGAAAATAAATAAATGAGAAAAATCATGAACATCAAATGTGATAAATTTTTTTAAAGTGAGTAGATCAGAGAAATGTCTGAACAAATACCTGTATCGACTGCAACAAGAACAAGAAGGTAGAGAAATGAAGGGCACACTCTGAAACGAAATGAACAAAGAATTACAAAACAAGACTGAAATAGGAAACAAACAGTCTGAGAAAAAGAGGACATCCGAAGGAAACATTAAGAAGAAAATTATTACAGGAAGCTATAAAATGTTGGTCTGAACTCCATGTCAGAAATCGCTAGAGTTGCATGCAATATGGCGGAGTGGGGGAATCGAATGCAGGCCCAATGTGACGTCTAACGGCACACGAAGGATGATGATTGTGACATTATCTATTCATCTCATGTGCTGATGAAGGTTTTCTAGCTGCAACGTTCACTTGTCGTTCATTTTTTGGATTAATGTTAAGCTGACAAGTTTTCGTTTGGTTTGATATATTTCCACGATACTCATGTTTTTCAGTGTGGAGACAGTGGTTGACGCTTTCTTGGAACTCGCACAGCTGGAGCAGATGAACGGCGCCATCTTGCTGGTGTCGCTAGAAGGGAAAACATATCGCAAGATGGAGAGTCTGGTCTATGTGTAGCAGCCTATTGTACTTGTTTAAATATATTACGGTGGTAAAGAACAACCTTTACTGTATAACGCGTTGGAATGAGCACACAGAAAATCCTTACAACCCTACTCTCCCAACCGTGATGAAGTAAACAGAGGAAGTAAAGAAGAGAAATGAGTAAGGTTTATCTATCGATCGTGCATATAATAATTGCCAACAATCCATTATTTAGCGGGAAATACATGAGAGGAAAAGAACATATGAAATGTAAGTATATAAGGACATATCCCAGTCCTTAAGAAAGAGTTGAAAATATATAGAAAGATTATCAGAATACCACGGACAAAAAAGAGGAGAAATGCTGACATTTCAAAGGATCTGAAGATTAAGGAAGTGTAACTAATAAATAGTATCTTGTCTTGGAAGCTGTAATATTTTGGTCATATCAAGCCCCATTGTGGATCGGGAAAAAATAATAGCAGGAGGGGTGATACCAGGAAAGAGGGACATTTGCCGACCAATACGAAGATGGACACGAAGTGACCCCTTGTATGTGGAAGTACACGAGGCGGGAGAGCTGGCGAGAGACTGAGTTTCTTTCAGGCAGACCTGCTACATGACGGTGATGATAAAGACATAGTGGGCAAAACATAAACACTGATAAGCATTAGAAATAAGTTGTTTACATAGACATATTCAGTACTATGACAGTCTTGCATCTCAGCCAACATAATGTCTTATAAACAGCTGACGTATACTTCATTATCATTTCTGGCTTTGTTTTGTCTTTGACTTCATACTTCATTATCATTTCTGGCTTTGTTTTGTCTTTGACTTCATTCTGTCTCTAGCTTGTAAACCAGCACAAAGATCGGCACAGGATATAAGTAGGTAGGTGGGGGCTTTGCTGGGGAAAAAATCGTCACGTTCAACCAGCATCCCGAGGGGGGAGCTTTAGGTTATAATTGTGACTCGGTTACGTGCACCATATAATATGGCTTAGCATTACACGCCACCAAGAACCCTGAAAAGGACTCCTACAGTGTTGATGCGATCAAAGGAGACCCACAGACTGTCCAGACGAAGTCGTCTGCGGGATGTAAGTGACACCTTGGGTAGGAAATAGTGCAACAGGCGGGAGAGCTGGCGAAAGACCTTGTTTATGTTAGGCAGACCCTGATGACAGCGACGTTCTACAAAGGACCGGCTACAGGATGATGATGGCTTGCTTGTAGTGGCAGTGTCTTCTCTTTGTTATAATCATACATGTGTAAAGCTGGCGTTTGTGCAGATCTGGGGCTTACAGTTGGTGAATGCGTTCAACAATTTCATCATTCTCGAGTACTGTAGTTTGATTCCTTCTGTAAATGGTTTACTTAAAAAAAAAACTTGGGTGGTTTTTAAGACAGCAATACAGAAGTGGTAACAGGGAGGAGACTGGGACCTAACCATGTAATACAGTGCAGACCGGATAAGGAGAACTCACGGGAACCCAAGAAATGGCTCTTCGTTTTAGAAATTTCTCTTACCCACACACAAATTACTGGGGATAAAGAAATTGTCACTCATAACAGAAATTCGCTACATCCGAAACCACCTTATTACCATAGACAGCATCCGTACGCCATAGCCGATTTTCATCGCGGAGTGCCTTTTTTTAAAGCTGGTCTGCGGGCTTCTGTGGCTTAGGCTTTACTAACGGACTTCTAATTCCAAAATAAACAAATGGAGAACCCTTGCAGCCGTAGAAACACTATTTACAATAAACACATGTACTGATTGGCACTCATAGAAAGAAGTAAGAAGACAGAAGAGCACATTAGACAACATAAAAATTGCAAGCTATAGTTACCATGCCATGAAGAGAACCTGTCACCTCCAAATGAAGACAAAGCCTCGCTGCAGCCACAAGTGTCCTAAGAGACATAACCCCCCCCCCCCCCCCCGCCTCCCGAAAGGTGTCTTCATCAGCCATTTGTATCGCAAAGCTTGTTTCTGCTGCTATGTCGTCTGTTGGAGGTGATAGGTTCAATTTCCGACATACCAAATATATACATTTTATAAATTTGTATGTTTTCTACCTTTTTGCGAGGGCCGATCACTGCAGATCTGTTTATTTATTATTTCTAATTCCAAAATATCCAGTTGCATTCCGGCTGCAAGCAATTTGGCAGCAGACATTTACGTTGATTTTGACAATAGTATGGAGTGTCCACTATACAGAGGCAATGACAAACTATTGACCATAACAATGCCTTATACAACCAAACAAACATAAATGTTTGGGTTGGCTCCGCAACGTCCTGTAAAGGATCATCATCATCAAGTGCCTTGCCAACTGGAGTCGGCGATAATACCTCTCCCCAATCAGCGTGTATCAGTTCATGTGTTGATACCCCTCCATGACATGACAAAAAACGGTCAAGAATCTTCTCTCTTTCCACAAATCTATCCAGCAGTCACAACATGTTCCCTTTTCCCTCTTCACATGAACAGGACATTATGACTGTCTCTTTCTGATGTTTGTGATAAGTTGATTTCAAGCACTCGCCTCTTTCAAAACATCCGTGTTGCTCTTCTTAGCTGTCCGAGGAATTCTAAGGATTCTCTTGTAAAACCACATCTCCGAGGCCTGAAGATACTGTTCGGCTTGTTTACTTATTGTCCAGGCTTCACAGCCGTATGTTTAAACTGGCTCTATATAGCATGCAAGAATTGTTTTCCTAACCTCCAGTGACATAGGTTTAGTGCATAAAATGTTCTTCATTTTATAAAATGCAGTTTTGATCTGTCCTATTCTGTTCTTTATCTCTGTAATACATCTTCCCAAAGATGTTATCCATGTGCCTAGATACTTACATTTCTGTACTTGTCCTAAAACAACACCTTTGACTTTTAATATTCACTTAGACACTATTCTTTTCCTGGAAATCAGCATTACTTCTGTTTTTCCCATTATTCAAACTGAGGGCCATTTTACCACTACCGTATCTGCCAATTCCAGTAGTTTTAGTTGTCTGGCACAGAGAAGGTGACAGGGGAAGCAATGGCGTAGGAAGGGGCGGGCAGAGTGCAGGTCGCCCCAGGTGGCATCAGTGAGGGGGTGACACCAGTGACACACAATGTGTGTTTTTAACATGTACACAGTGTGTGTTTTTAACATGTACACAATGTGTGTTTTTAACATGTACACAATGTGTGTTTTTAACATGTACACAGTGTGTGTGTATGTGTGGGAAGGTGTTACAGGTACTAAATGAGTTTGCTTTGCCACTGGGAAAAGGGAACTTGCCAACCCAGCTCCTAAGTTATTGCCCAGAACATACAAAGACCAAATATTTTAGAACCTTGTGGTAAAATCTACTCTGCTATTATTTTTTCTCTTCTCAAAATAAATATTACAATATCTGCATTTAGAATGGAGGTGGAGGCAATCACTGCAGCCTTCCGCTGGCTTGAGAATGGAGGTGGAGGCAGTCACTGCAGCCTTCCGCTGGCTTGAGAACCAGCTGTACATGCCATGATTGTAACTGACTCACAAAGGCATCATCAGAAAGGTGGAGACAGGTATTTTTTACCAGGATAGGCAGGTGGGTTGGAAAATGAAAAGGCAAACAGACTGGCTGGTTCTGCCCCACCTGGTGGTAAATTGATGCATGATAAGCTAGATGTGGTCCAGGCCACTTTTTCACACCTTCAGATGTATTTGGGCATATAAGGCAAGATGTATATTTTATAGACCAAGCAGTACTCGATGGGTGATTTGTTGAATATCACGCCAGCCACCTTCACTTCTCTGAACTTTACCTGGTATTTGAGGCTGTGGTGACCAGGGAGCCAAGGTCATTTTTTGACAAAAATAGTCTGGCTCCACCAAGGTCCGAAACCACTTTTCTTTGGATCCGTTGTTAAGTGTCTAGCTGCTACACCATGGTGTCACCCAAATGAAGACAGAGCTGAGGCACAAAAAGATCATTACCGTCTGAAGTGAATGGCATCGGACAGTAACCAGGGATCTGACCCACTTTCAGGGGAAGGGAAGATGGACATAAAATCAGAATGCTTCTGGTACAATCAGCACTGGAACTCTGTGTTGGCTGCTAAAGATGGGGACAAAGAAATTAAAGGAGTGTCCTAAATGCTAATATGTCAGTGCTTAACTCAATTCAACTCTTCTGATAAACTAACATTAAATATCAACCTCTGGCTTTAATTATTTCAAACAAATTGACTGGTTTGATTTAGGTCGCCTGTTAGAAACCAAAACAAGGATGACATGTAATGTGCCAGGTTGTAAAATAAGAATCTGTCTAAAGTTTGGGAATGGATGACAAAAAAAAACTTTATTTTCAAAAGGTTAAGACTAGTCCATATTTTCCACCTTTCATTCAGACTTTAACAAAACCATTCAAGTTATTTGCAATTTTTGCTAAACACAGTTACCACTGAAAATGATAATAATTAAATATACATAAAGTATATGTGCTGAATTATAATGTATCTGGGGATTGAAGGTGATGGTAAGGATCACTAATGTTAGTGTTATGTCTTGGTCAGAAATGACTCAGCTGTCGTATAAAACAGTAGCATGACTTCGTCAGATATGACTCAGCTGCCATATAACAGCATTAGTATGTCTTGGTCAAAAATGACTGAGCTGCCATATAACAGCAGTAGTATGTCTTGGTCAGAAATGACTGAGCTGTCATATAACAGCAGTAGTATGTCTTGGTCAGATATGACTGAGCTGTCATATAACAGCATTAGTATGTCTTGGTCAGATATGAATGAGCTGCCATATAACAGCAGTAGTATATCTTGGTCAGATATGACTGAGCTGCCATATAACAGCAGTAGTATGTCTTGGTCAGATATGACTGAGCTGTCATATAACAGCAGTAGTATGTCTTGGTCAGATATGAATGAGCTGCCATATAACAGCAGTAGTATATCTTGGTTAAATGTGACTGAGCTGCCATATAACAGCAGTAGTATGTCTTGGTCAGATATGACTGAGCTGCGGTATAACA